CAACAGGATTATACCTAGAGCCTAAGCTTACATTCTACGGCAGTGAGAAATGGTTTTGAAAAACCTGACCAAAAAAAAAAAAAAAAAAAGAAGAAAACTTAATCTTGTCGCTTCCCCAAGACTTGCATACTGACAACAACTATAAATAGCTGGAGTAGCACATTGTTTAACAAGCCGCAGCAAGATGGTCCATGTTTGAAAACAGAACATTTTTATTTTTTTCAAGTCCTCCATTATTACTGCAGCAGTCCTCTAGTTCAGCAATTGATTTGCTATATACTACTACCACCGTGTAGACTACAAACAGTGTTTTTAGTATCCATACATAATATACTAAAATGCTGAGAACAAGCAGGGAAACAAAGACAAAATCCTGCCCCATGGCATGCAGCTATATTCCAAATTGTGTAAAAACAGCCCTAGGTTTTGGGGTGGGGTAGGGGGGTAACCTTTATTCATTTGCGAGACCAAAGACATAGGGTATCTTATTACCCTCGCCTGCTAGAAAATGGTGCCTGTATTTCGGTAAAATAAAGCTGTTGACGTGTGCAATTGTGGTCATTATTAGGGCGATCACGTTGTTTTCATTCATTCATTCAGGATTTGCTGGAGGATGTCAGCTTCTGCAGCAGCAGCTGGCTTGACCTGGAGGAGGGGGAACAAATTCCTCGCAGCGCATACAGATTACAGGGTGCATTTCTTGATGGACCATTTATGATTTTATACACTGCGCTCATTAAACCGAATCAAGCCGTGTATGCTGCTAAGGCGGTTCACTGTGAGGCAAGCTCAAACAAGTTTAATGACAGAAAAGTCATTCAGTACTAATTTATAGTCTGATTTATTAAGGTTAAAATAGCCCACAGTTGAAGACGACTGAAACCACTTTCTACAATTAAAATTTCCCCTCCAACAAAAAATTTGTATGTAATAATGAAATACTTCACAGCTTTGCAGTATTTTTCCTTGCTTGCAGGTAACTGCCCACATTCCTCCCTCTTCAATACACCTGAAGCGTAGACCTTTACACACTGCACCACTACAATGTTTTGCTCCAGGTTCCCATAATTAAATAATTTACAGTATTCATCAGCAGCACCATCACTATTCACGTGCACCGATTGTTTTTGTTTTGCCTAGTTCCCCATTAGCATTTTCCAAAGGTTAAAAGAAGGAGGAAAAAATGAAATCTACATTTAGTACTTCATACAGTAGGAAAAATATGATCTTTACAATTTCAAACAGAGCTTGGATGAAGCAAAACCACTGAAGCTCAGTTCCATTTTCAAATGCAAAAACTTCTGCATAAATAGATGATCTTTTTGAGAAATAAGTTATGTAGCATCTCTGTTCAGATTATAACACAACCAATTTAGTCATCTGCATAAGCACAAATACTGTGTAGGGTAAATTAACTCCATGCGTAACTGGCAGTGACATTTTGCTCATTTGCAAAATTCTGCCCCTGTCCTAGGATCGTTCTGATGACAGAGATGTGCCAAAGTTACAAATACTACAGATTGTAAGGTTTTACTACACATTAAAATAGAAAGGGGGGGGGCAGAAGGTAACAGATTCCACTGCTACAAAACACGTTGGCAACCAAACACAGACCATAATTTGCCACAGCAATGAAACACAGTAAGACTTAAGGAAAGGACAGAACAAGCAAGAGGTACTGAACCACATAAAACGTTCCCAGAAAGAGATACCTGATAGCTACAGCAGGATAACATAAAAAGTGCATTTAGTCTGATTCATTCAGCTGCTAAAGTGATGGGAGAAGGGGGGGAAGCAGAGGGGGGAGGTAAGATGGCCACTGCCACTTTAACACATTCAATAATTTAACAGACAACCTGACGCAGGTTAAGTTGGACTTGCTGGGAACCAATTTTACATTTTAAACTTTACAGGCCTATTTTGGCTACGTCGGGTTGGTTTTTATTTTGCAGTCTCAAGGATGCAGTATTAAATATCACAAGGAGGCAGGTCGTGTTATTTGTTTTTAAGCATCTCAATATGGGAATTTCCTTTTTGTTCTGAAGTCTGTGCTTGAAAGCATTACGTATTTTAACCCAAGATGTTACAGAAACGCAAGTCTTT